GAGTTTGTTAGTCATTGACGGTTTGCCACCAATCACCCCGTTTCGGGCGATGCCACTTGAGATTGGAATGCGAGGCCGCTTCACGTATTGACTCGTAACCAAAGAAAGAGCTCCAACTGAAATTGTTCATAAAATTGTCATGGTAGAATGGAGATAAACCTACTGTGTGGGAAAATCAGAGGTATATAACGAAATTATAATAGCTCTAAATTTCATTTAAAACCGAACGCGTAGCGTGAGGTTTTAAATGAACAATTTAGAGCTATTATAATTTATACCTCTGATTTTCCCACACAGTAGGTTTATCTCCTAATTATAACTCAATGTTTAAGTAAAGTTGGGAATTTTTGTGATCCTTAGCAAAGTGTGAGTTAAACGCCGTAGTACGGCGAGGTCGAAATGTTCGACGTATGTTATGACTACAGTATAATGGCGTATTGACAGCGTTTAGGGAAACTGGTAGATATAAAAATGGGGGTTCACAGGAGGAAACCGTCAGTACTCCTCAAGATTCCATGGTGAGCGGATGTCCATGATGGAGGATCAAGCAAGGCCCAGGAGCGAATACCTGCCATCTGTCCTTCAATAACATCATGACCTCATCTATTTCACACTGTACAAGTTCGACCCGTGAAGACCCGGGTTAGAATTGATCTTTAGTAACCCATGCTTGTCGTAAGAGACGACTAACGGAATCGGATTGCCACATGTCATCGTATCCCAATTGCGCAGATCGATGCTCAGTTTATCAACGGACTGTTTGGTCCAGACTTATTATTTACAGATAGTGTGTGAGGGAGTTTAGTTTTACGCCACACTAAGCAATATTCCAGCTATATGGCAGATGTCTGTAAATAATCAAGTCTGGATCAGGCAATCCAGTGATCAACAGCATGAACATTGACCTATGAAATTGGGATACGAAGACATGTGTCAACCAAGTCAGCGAGCCTGACCACCCGATCCCGTTAGTTGGCTCTCACCACAAGCAAGGGTTACTGAAGACCAATTCTAACCCGGATCTTCACGGGTCCACTCACCACTCAGGAATTGGGTGCGGTAATTGATCGGAGGGAGGGGGTGGATGGGTAGATCTGTCAGTTCTGGGGCGCTGTCACCGCTCTTCATCTTGTCGGGACGGATGTGGGTGTCTTGCAGCAACCTGGACCACCTTCAAGGTCCTCGACAGTCTTCCCCATGATTTTGCCTTCAGATACTCCCATAGCTTTGCCTTTTTTGTCCTCCCTCTGGTAGTCAGTCTTCTTAATGTCACAGAGGATGGCGTGCTCGAGAAGAAAGTCGCGAAAGAGCTGCGCCTCTTGAACATCAACACAAAACTGTGTCTTCTTGGCCCAATCCTTCTTGGCCATGGTTGGTTGACAGGAGGCGGATTGATAGGACTCCACTGACGGTGCCCGAGAGGCGCTGGAGTCAGCATCATCGCCTTAGGAGGGTGATGCTGTAGGTGACGATGGATCACGTGCTCCATGTCACGGTCAGGAGACTTCTTTGCAACTTTTTTGAAACAAAATTATACGTCGACAAACGCTGGCTAAATCCTCATTGTGTGACAGGGCTTTTACAATTTGCATATCTTCTATCGGAAGACTGTCACATGATTTTCTGAGCTCATCTGAAGTATTGTATTTCAAGGCTAATTATAGAGTCGTTACATGCATATCGGTCACACAAGGAAGGTCCAGGGTTTGCTATCTGTTTCTTAGTTACTGCTCAATTATTAAGATTCATTTGCCTGGGATCACCATGTTGTTGTTTCACAGTCTCATTTCTCAATATCGTTTTTAATATGATGTGACTCTAGTCGTGTAGGGGCCGGGGGTAGCCTAGTGGTTAAAGCGTTCGCTCGTCACGCCGAAGACACGGGTTCGATTTCCCACATGGCTACAATGTGTGAAACCCATTTCTGGTGTCCTCGACGTGATATTGCTGGAATATTGCTAAAAGCGGCGTAAAACTATACTCACTTTAGTAGTGTAAGGACCTATGTGTTGGATGATATTGATTAATACCACCGCATTCTAAGCAATTACATTTGTACAAAGCAGAGTCCCATTTATCTGCACTGAGCTCGAGTGAGTGAGTGAGGTAATATTGTATGTCACATCGGCAGTATTTCAGCCATACCGTGACAACAGCAAGATTTTATAATAAATAAAGGTAAAATATAAAGCCCTGTCAGTGACAATAAAACAACAAGAATATCACAGATATGAATATAAAACAAGTATGTAAATAAAAAACATATTAATTATAGAAGACAATACAATATAAAAACAAACTCTGGACTAAAGGTAGGTCACAATACTAGGGACCATATAAACGTCCGAGCTCGAGTATCTTTAGATTTTGTTTTCTTTGCTCTTTACCACTTGACGGAGCACAATACCAGTTGGTTGACAGTGATACAATAACAAAATACTTACAGTAGATGTAAAGTACATCCCTGAGTGAGTGAGTGAGTGAGTGAATACTTACCGTCACATCGGCAATATATCAACCATATCGAGACGAGAAAAATTACTTATTATATGAAAGAACACTAAAATTAGAAATTAAAAGCCTGTTAACAAGTACATTCCTGAAGAGACAAAATGTAAATATCTGGTTTAGTGTCTTGCAATGGAAGACTCAATATAATCACCATACAGTTAGTATCTGGTGAACATTGCCGGCAGTGAGTATATATTTTTAATACCTTAAACATGGATTCTCACACGTCTAGGCTAATGTTTACCGTAAAGAATATTACATTGACCTGATGAAATGGAAAACTTTTGTCTTTCACAGACTAACCCCGACTTTTCTTTATCGTGTGACTGACTTAAATGTGGGCCACTGACCTTGAACTGAAATACAGCATTGCATCGGCATTGTTTCAGCTTGGCATTGAATTGACCAAGTGTGTGCATGTTCATGATATACCACAATATACAAGACAAATTTGTTATACAGATTCAGATAGAGCACTGTTTACGATATGAATACACAATGCCATAAATAATACGTGCAACATGTGTTAGTCGAACTGTTTGGAAATGGGCTATTGAGCTATTGGTCACCATCGACTATAGCTTGGCCATTTAGCAGGGAATGTGGAGGATGTATGTTAACACTTTAGCTACCGGTACTTGAACATAATGCTAGGTCGTCTGAACTAAATGTTAAGTAATTGGTTGGCATATATCACGTGTTAATCATTACTTTGATTTTAATAGGAAATGGGGAAACCAATTTACAGTATTTCAACTTCCTGGACAGAATCTTCGATAGTCACCACATCAAAATCAAATGCAGACCAAAGAATTAAGTTTGCATTAACATTCTATGAATTTCCCATGTTTTATACATTTAATAATACATGCCAATTTCTTTCAAGTGGCATTGGATGTACTGGCATTGGATGCTCACACAGGAAAACAGATCGTTTATTGCAGATTTATTACTTTGTAATGTGAATCGCTTGCAGTTTTAGAATACACCTAGTCAAGGGACATACTCCTAATCTTGAACATCGTCGGGGTCTACTTGAGAGGCTCGCCTTCATGTCTGTTGAGCATATATTTGTGACTAAAGCTCACGGTGCCAATACAACATCATCGCAAAATGCCCTTGTCTTGTACAGAGCTCCATATGGCCATTTATACTCATGTAATAATAATGTTTGGCTGCATGACGATTTTGACCCTTCCGGTGCACCATACATTCATTATAAGTGAACAGTTTCAAGAATGCACTCTTACGTATTAGAATTTCAACAATAGTTGATGGGAGGTTATCATATGAATAACCTATCAAATATATGATAAATTTAGAATAGCCACAAATGTTAATGCTGCAGAGTGTTCCGAAATATACTGCTACCGCTGTGCCAGTGCCACATGGTTATAGGAAAAACGTCCTCGATAAAAAAGTCCTTTTGTAGTAAAAACTAATTTAGTTATATTCACTCGACAATATATTGATTAAAAAAACATGAAGAAATCACATATAATGACATTATTTTTTAAAATTGTTGTTCGACCTTTTAAACGACATCTAAGTAAACATGATGTGCTCACGGATTAAATATCTAAACTGACTTTGATCTGTAGTAAAGACAGTTTAAGTGTTTCAGTGTGTAAGCATCTCACCCAGAGCTAGTTTCAAATGTACCAGTAAAAACATATTGCAGGAATATATATATCCTGCTATCCTACAATATGAGTACCAATTCCACCATGTAAGTTATCCAGACCAACAAGGGTGGTTTGAGGCTAGTCTTGGATGGGTATATGTTCACCAAACACGCAAGTCGCAAAGCCAAGATTGTATGGAAATGTTGTCGTACGTCCAGTACCGAATACATGTGATGCATTATACAACATAAAAAATAGAAGGAGCAGTGTTTTTCTATACATTTCCTGTTAGAAAATGAAAAGGGGACCTTTCTCCGATGACTTTTTGACCAGGGCAAAGATAGGACTTTTTCTGATTACTTTTTACCGGTACTTCTTTACCGAGGACTTTTGTACCGAACACAGCACACAACACTACGTTGTCTGGGTCAATTGTTAAGGTCCAATGATTTATGTGTGCCTCTTGACAAAGGTATGGTTAATCCTAGATGGCTATACGTGCTGCTAACATAAGCGTTAGTGAGTGAGTGTGATTTTAGACACTTATAGCAATATTCACACACCCATGTGGGGAATCGAACTGGGGTCTTCGGCGTGACGAGTGAACTCTTTAACCACTAGGCTACATACGTGTAGCGCGGTGAGCAACATCTGCCACGTTCATCACATGGTCCAATCAGTTGATTCATCTCGGTTAGAGTATAATAAGCAACCAACTCGGTAAGCACACTATTGAAACGTTTTATCACCTCAAAGCTGAAATATTGCCGAGGTGACGTTAAATTTTAACTAACTCACTCATAACGTCAAAGCACTTTGACGCAAGTGTCGCTCATCTTTTACTAATAGCACAGGACAGAGACATACCTCATCACAATACACATACGGATTTATTCTTTTCAGTGTCATGAAGCCATCTACAGGAGTTTCATTCATAAGAACCGCCATTGAGGGGGAAGTGTTATCCCTATATTTTTCCGACAATGAGGGCAACAGATGACACATGACCACCGTCTCCATCAAAGGTCATGTTGACGTTGTTTGTTGTAAGAACCTGTGTTTCAGGGACCATGAAAACCCACACGTTCCATTTGGTTTTCCCGTCGGTCTTCATAGAATCAAACAGCATGTAGCTTGAAGACAATGTCTGGCCATTGAACACAACTGCCTTGGGTTTTGCATTGGCATTCTTGTCGCAGCTAACTCCCACCCTAAGATGCGCAGAGTTGTAGCCAGAGCTAGGTAGATAGACGGTTGTCTGTGCATGTCCATTGCTGATAGGAATGACCATGTCTTTGCCATAGTATGTGCTTTGGTTGCACGTGGGCATTCTGTCAATGTTGTAGTTGGTTTTAAACGTGTAGAAGCAGGTTGACGATCCAGGCAGTCCGACGGAACCATGATCCTTAGATATGTTGAAATGGTAATTGGGATGAATAGCTGGATTACCATTTTCGAAAAGAACGCATGTTTCATCACCAGTGGAAGGACTGACCCAACTGTTAGAGAAGTCCAGTTTTACATTTTGCCACTTACGGTCATAGTTGTGGAGAAGAACTACCACCTCTTTGGTGAGAGGGTTTGCTAGGGCAAGAGGTGCAACTGTTCTTTCTCGTCCACTGTATTGACTTGAAACACGAAGAAACTTTTGATCATAAACAAAGTTTGTCCAGAACGTGAAATATTTCGTCATGTTAAGAGCATGACCATCTTTTGTAAATAGGGAATCCCGTAGGGTGGGATGACCCGGATATTGAACATTTCCGTGCAGAAAAACTAAAACTATTTCGATAAACTCTCTCAAGTTAAGGAAAGTAAACATGAAACCATTGGGTTGATAAATGGTCTCAAAGTCAATCATTCCATTTTCGAAACCGGGGGAAGCTCCGAACACATTTCCTCTACCAAACTCACTGACAACTAACGGAACATTTTTGCCTTTCTTGAGATGGGAGTAATTCTCCACCATGTCAATAGAAGCGACCAGACGAGCTTCGTTGATGCCAAAACGTGCATAGTTTCCACCTGACACACGCAGATAACTGTAGGAATGGAAAGAGAAAAAGTCCAAATGATCAAGCGTCATGTCCATAAACTTAGCAGTTCTCTTCCAGTAGCTGAAGTTATTTTCATCTGCTTGTCGTAAAGCCATACTGGTGTAGGTTGGTCCAGCAACTTTCATTCCAAATCTTGATTTCAGCTTTTGGGCAACGGCCTTGTGGAAATCTATGTTGGTTTGTTGGTCAATAATCTTTTCGACCCAGTCAGGTTCATTGATGACTTCAAATGTGTAAGGAAGGCGCCCTCCTGTGTAGTCTTTAGCACTCTGAACCATCAGCGACACAAATTCTGCTGCAGCATCAACGTTGTTTGGGAACTGACCTTCATGACGAGACTTATTGATCCAGTCGGGCCAGCTCAGACCTGTAAAGAAAAGTTTGATTAAAAAGGAAAGTCAAACATTATCAGCCCGTGTTGAACTACTTTCCGTGTAACCCATGAAGGTCCTGGTCAGAATATAGATCTTCAGTAACCCATGCTTGTCGCAAGGGCGAGTAACAGGATCGGGTGGTCAGGCTCGCTGACTTGGTTGACACATGTAATCGGTTCCCAATTGCGCAGATCGATGCTCATGTTGTTGATCACTGGATTGTTTGGTCCAGACACGATTATTTACAGACCGCCGCCATATAGCTGGAATATTGCTGAGTGCGGTGTAAAACTAAACTCACTCACTCACTTTCTGAGTAAATTAGTGTGAGTTGATAGACTGAGTGATACATGTTTACGACTGTTGGTGGAGTAGTGAGTGAGTCAGTAATATTTCAGCCACATCGTGACTAGAATAGGTCATATGTTAATAATGGGTAATGGTGTATAATAAAGTCTGTCGCCGTAGGACAGTAAAACAACTAGAATATCTCAGTTACAGATTAAAACTAGCTCGTAACGCAAAAGGTATATCACTATAGAAAACAACACAATATATACACGTGCTCATGATCGCCAGCAACTGAAGGTCGATCACCACATTAGGGACCATGGGGAGGTATAGTACTTTTGCTACCATCCATGTAGATCCTAGCGCTTGGGGACACTATTTATTTCCAGAATTTCAACCACAGTGCAATGCATACCCTGTGAAGAAACCTGGAAGAGAATATAGGAACACTTGTACATTTATGTGTTTCCTTATTCGTTTCCATGAGAATACTTTGAATGTTTAGCGGGCATACAGGGGCATACATGATTTCAGCAATAAGTTGGTGAGGTACAAGATCACGGGAATATTAGGAACTAAATGGAAATCGAACCAATGACAGACAAAGAAGCAACTTAGTGTGTTGTGGAACTGCTGTTCCTTATTTGGTTATGGTTCAGTTATCTCTGAAAAAGTTTATTCCTCTCTGTAGATATTTCTTCAATCAATCTAATGACTTTTGGCACCTTTTATGTTCCAGACCATGTTGTCGATGGCACTCCCATAGCCATTTAGTTGTCGCATATACGTCGCCCAAGTCTTTGACTGAAGTGTATGGTCCTGGAGATAGCTGGGGTCTGGGTACCCAGAGTGACTAGGACTCTCTGGCCACTGAAAATAAAATGATACATTGCAGTATGGGTGTGTCAGTTTTTCTGTTGACAGCGTTAATACGTTTTATTTCCATGTTGTGATGAAGCCCATTTCTGGCCTATTATTGCTGGAATATTGCTAAAAGCTACGTAAAACCTCACTCACTCCATGTTGGGATGAAATGAATATAAATTGTCCCAGGCCAACTTTGTCAAAGCAAACAAGTTCAAGGTGAGGTGAGGTGAAGTGGGATTTAACGTCGCACTTAAAGATTATTTCGCTCATATGACGACGTGCATGCGTGTGTATGTGTGGCTGGTTTTACTAGCCCAGACTTAGGCTTGTATTTTAGTGCTAGCTCACTGAGATACCATGCCACACTGAATACCCCACTCAGACACATTATACTGACTCCGAGCCCACCAGTCCTTGTTGTACCCATTAATGTCGAGCGCCAGGCAGGGACCAAACAAGTACCATATTTTAACGTCTTTTGGTATGACGCGAACGAACCCGCGACATTACCCTCCCCGGCCTGACGCTCTTACCACTACACCACGGAGGCGGTCACAGTTCAAAAGATGATTTAGCAAATATGTTGCGAAACAGTTTTAGGATTGTATTTACCAAAACATATTGCCAATATCAATTAAACTAATATATATTCAGGCTGTTGAGAAATAACATGGTAAGCCCTACAATATTACATGAATGGATACTTGGCCACTGACATCATTCAATAAGCAAATCATTTACCAGTATATCTGCCGCCTGCAAAATGCGTTTTATGGCATACATACATTTGGGAAGAGGTTTTATTTGCTTGCTGCATTTGGAATGAGGTTATCATTGAGGTCTCTGTTCAGCCAACGCCCAGCAGCTGTCCCGATTGATTTACATTTTGGAATTAGGTTCCCTTGCGTGAGCCCATTGATTTTGTTCCATCTTTCAAGTTCATAGTGGACATGTCCACCCTGGGAGAGCCACTCGTTGTAGATTGTGACAGTTGTGTAAGAAAACGCTGATCCCCACAGCAACAAGGTGCACAGAACCGGTAGGAACATTCTGCGGGAGTACTATGCCACTTTGGTCCTCTGACAGGAGCTTTAAACCTTAAGTTTAAGGTAATGTGCTTGTGAAAATGACTTGTGCAGAGTCATGTGAGATAAGAGAAGACAGAAGAATTGATAACGAAAGGTGCATCAGACCCAATAAATAACCTCCCTCTGCTCTCCCTGTTAAATGTATACGTAATCTGTGGGCAGCTTGAGTATGTAACGTTGTTAAACGTTGACCGGAACCTCTACACAGTAAACAATAATTGTTAGGGTCAATGGGCGAGTGAGTATAGTTTTATTCCGCCTTTAGCAATATTTGAGCAATATGGGTTTCACACATTGTAACCATATGGAGAATCGAACCCGGGTCTTCGGCGTGACGATCGAACGCTTTAACCACGAGGCTACCTCACCTCCCTTGTTAGTGTCAGACTGTGATAAAACAGAGAGTATTTTAAAATCTGATACTTAACTACACATCGTTACATTTCTCTAAAGGGTTTATTTCAGGCTATCGCAGATTAAGAACAAACCATCGAGGATATTCTACTGACTGATGATATTGCGTATAATAAATACTGTCTAGTCTTTGAGTTAATGGTACAACATATACGATATATGCCTTATAAATAATTTTGTAATCTCTATCACAGTCCCAGCGCCACGTTATTTCAGTGATGCAAAACCTGTAAACGAAGCCAATCCAGATTCCCTGACGTTTCGCCTTCATGCGGTATGCACCTACCCTGCCATCGGCAAAATTCAATGAGAGACAGAAGAGTTGATAACGAAAGGTGCATCAGACCCAATAAATAACCTCCCTCTGCTCTCGCTGTTAAATGTATACGTAATCTATGGGCAGCTTGAGTATATAACGTGGATCAGAACCTCTACACAGTAAACAATAATTGTTAGGGTCAATGGCTGAGTGAGTACAGTTTTACGCCGCCTTTAGCAATATTTGAGCAATATGGGTTTTACACATTGTAACCACGTGGAGAATCGAACTCGGGTCTTCGGCGTTACGATCGAACGCTTTAACCACGAGGCTACCTCACCTCCCTTGTTAGTGTCAGACTGTGATAAAACAGACAGCATTTCAAAATCTGATACTTAACTGCACATCGTTACATTTCTTTAAAGGGTTTATTTCAGGCTATCGTGGATTAAGAACAAACCATCGAGGATATTCTACTTACTCATGATGATACTGAGTATAATAAATACTGTGTAGTCTTTGAGTTAATGGTACAACATATACGATATATGCCTTATAAATAATTTTGTAATCTCTATCACAGTCCCAGCGCCACGTTATTTCAGTGATGCAAAACCTGTAAACGAATCCAATCCAGATTCCCTGACGTTTCCCCTTCATTCGGTATGCACCTACCCTGCCATTGGCAAAATTCATTCTTTTGGTATGACGCGAACGAACCGGCGACCTTACCCTCCCCGGCCGGACGCTCCTACTAATACACCACGGAGGCGGTCAAAGTTCAAACGATGATTAAACAAGTATGTTACGAAACAGTTTTAGGATTGTATTAACCAAAACATATTGCCAATATCAATTAAACTAATATGCTTCAGGCTGTTGAGAAATAACATGGTAAGCCCTACAATATTACATGAATGGATACTTGGCCACTGCATCATTCAAAAAGCAAATCATTTACCAGTATATCTGCCGCCTGCAAAATGCGTTTTATGGCATACATACATTTGGAAAGAGGTTATATTTGCTTCCTGCATGGACACTTATATGATGATTTTACCGCATACGTACGTTTGGAAAAACCTCTATGTCTCTGTTCAGCCAACGCCCAGCAGCTGTCCCGATTGATTTACATTTTGGAATTAGGTTCCCTTGCGTGAGCCCATTGATTTTGCTCCATCTTTCAAGTTCATAGTGGACATGTCCACCCTGGGAGAGCCACTCGTTGTAGATTGTGACAGTTGTGTAAGAAAACGCTGATCCCCACAGCAACAAGGTGCACAGAACCGGTAGGAACATTCGGCGAAAGTACTATGCCACTTTGGTCCTCTAACACGAGCTTTAAACCTTAAGTTTAAGGTAATTTGCTTGTGAAAATGACTTGTGCAGAGTCATGTGAGATAAGAGAGACAGAAGAGTTGATAACGAAAGGTGCATCAGACCCAATAAATAACCTCCCTCTGCTCTCGCTGTTAAATGTATACGTAATCTATGGGCAGCTTGAGTATATAACGTGGATCAGAACCTCTACACAGTAAACAATAATTGTTAGGGTCAATGGCTGAGTGAGTACAGTTTTACGCCGCCTTTAGCAATATTTGAGCAATATGGGTTTTACACATTGTAACCACGTGGAGAATCGAACTCGGGTCTTCGGCGTGACGATCGAACGCTTTAACCACGAGGCTACCTCACCTCCCTTGTTAGTGTCAGACTGTGATAAAACAGACAGCATTTCAAAATCTGATACTTAACTGCACATCGTTACATTTCTTTAAAGGGTTTATTTCAGGCTATCGCGGATTAAGAACAAACCATCGAGGATATTCTACTTACTCATGATGATACTGAGTATAATAAATACTGTGTAGTCTTTGAGTTAATGGTACAACATATACGATATATGCCTTATAAATAATTTTGTAATCTCTATCACAGTCCCAGCGCCACGTTATTTCAGTGATGCAAAACCTGTAAACGAATCCAATCCAGATTCCCTGACGTTTCCCCTTCATTCGGTATGCACCTACCCTGCCATTGGCAAAATTCATTCTTTGGTATGACGCGAACGAACCGGCGACCTTACCCTCCCCGGCCGGACGCTCCTACTAATACACCACGGAGGCGGTCAAAGTTCAAACGATGATTAAACAAGTATGTTACGAAACAGTTTTAGGATTGTATTAACCAAAACATATTGCCAATATCAATTAAACTAATATGCTTCAGGCTGTTGAGAAATAACATGGTAAGCCCTACAATATTACATGAATGGATACTTGGCCACTGCATCATTCAAAAAGCAAATCATTTACCAGTATATCTGCCGCCTGCAAAATGCGTTTTATGGCATACATACATTTGGAAAGAGGTTATATTTGCTTCCTGCATGGACACTTATATGATGATTTTACCGCATACGTACGTTTGGAAAAACCTCTATGTCTCTGTTCAGCCAACGCCCAGCAGCTGTCCCGATTGATTTACATTTTGGAATTAGGTTCCCTTGCGTGAGCCCATTGATTTTGCTCCATCTTTCAAGTTCATAGTGGACATGTCCACCCTGGGAGAGCCACTCGTTGTAGATTGTGACAGTTGTGTAAGAAAACGCTGATCCCCACAGCAACAAGGTGCACAGAACCGGTAGGAACATTCTGCGAAAGTACTATGCCACTTTGGTCCTCTAACACGAGCTTTAAACCTTAAGTTTAAGGTAATTTGCTTGTGAAAATGACTTGTGCAGAGTCATGTGAGATAAGAGAGACAGAAGAGTTGATAACGAAAGGTGCATCAGACCCAATAAATAACCTCCCTCTGCTCTCGCTGTTAAATGTATACGTAATCTATGGGCAGCTTGAGTATATAACGTGGATCAGAACCTCTACACAGTAAACAATAATTGTTAGGGTCAATGGCTGAGTGAGTACAGTTTTACGCCGCCTTTAGCAATATTTGAGCAATATGGGTTTTACACATTGTAACCACGTGGAGAATCGAACTCGGGTCTTCGGCGTGACGATCGAACGCTTTAACCACGAGGCTACCTCACCTCCCTTGTTAGTGTCAGACTGTGATAAAACAGACAGCATTTCAAAATCTGATACTTAACTGCACATCGTTACATTTCTTTAAAGGGTTTATTTCAGGCTATCGTGGATTAAGAACAAACCATCGAGGATATTCTACTTACTCATGATGATACTGAGTATAATAAATACTGTTTAGTCTTTGAGTTAATGGTTCAACGTATACGATATATGCCTTATAAATAATTTTGTAATGTCTTTCACAGTCGCAGCTCCACGTTGTTTCAGTGATGCAAAACCTGTAAACGAAGCCATTCCAGATTCTCTGATGTTTCCCCTTCATGCGGTATGCACCTTTTTTTGCCATCGACAAAATTCAGTGAGTCGTCACTGAAGATAATCCTGCTTCACTGCTTGGTGAATCTATATGGCTGAACCATTGCCGATGTAACGTAAATTTTAACCCACTTACCTATGATTATGAAACATGATAGGGGTATGATATATATCCCATATTTATGTTAGAGCACTGCAGTTTAGTGCATAGGGTTTATGGTTTGGGAACCACATGGTTATTTTTTACATTAATTAAATGCTCATGCTGTTGACCACTCGATTGTCTGGTCCTGACTCAATTATTTACAGACCGCCACCATATAGCTGGAAGTTCCTGGTTGTGTTATTTCCAAACGATTTGTATGATATATTATGTCCACTTTTGTGAATTAGCGCACACGTTCAGCTTGCTGTCCAGGAGATCAATGTATGCGACCAGTTCAAACTTTCGATGAGGAATGAATAACTTCATGCTTTATGTAATGAGGGAAACCACGGTAACCCCGCATTTTCTTCTGAAATAATTGACTTCCTGACTCCAATGGCCTTTATGGCGGTGTGGTAGTCGGGTGGTTAACTCGTCACATTGTAGTGATCTACCGTCAGTTGCTGGAGATCTATAGCCCGATTTTATATTGTTTTTGTTTTGAAAAGATGTGACATTTTACACTGAACTCAAACAACGTAAAATTTGAACTCACTCACTCACTCGTCACATTGTAACACTCTTGACGTTAATTGCTCCCTGAACCCGGATGTACATACCATTGATAGGAAAATCGTAGAATATCAACGGTTTCCGATCTTGTCTCAAAACCATCCTCTTCAAACGAGCATTCGACTAAGCGCACATGAGCAGGACTCTGGATATGTAGGGCTATACAAATGTCTATTTTGATTTGATTTGATTTGATTTGATTGATGGCGATGACAAAACCCTCCCCTGTGGAAGGACTGCCTGT